TCTATTCATGCATTTCTTTTGTGACCAGTTCGTAACCACCTAGTTGTGTGACTCACGGAGCATGGGGCACTCTGTGAGTGACACACAGACGGGCCGACACCTGGACGGACGCAAGAACGGACGAACGCAAAGAGGTATGGACGACGGATGGAAGCACGGACGGACAAACGCACAGATGGACAGACAGACCAATGGCCGGACATTAGGACGGACGGGTGGAAGCATGGACGGACTAACAGATGCATGGATGGACTCGAAATCAGAGGCTGGATGCATGTACGAATGACGGACGGACTGATGGATGCACAGATCAACGGCCGGATGGACAGACAAAATCACGGACAGACGGATGGACGCACGTTTCACTCCTTTCATTATTAATTCCTAACAGAATTCCTGCGACTTTTTCTAGTGGGTTTCGAAGCTGGTAAGGTGGGTTTCGAGGCTGAAGTCAATGCTTCAGGGGAAAATTGCATCCGACGAGGGCACACATGGTCTGTCACTGCAATGTGTGACGTCACACAAAAGTTGCGCCTTATCATGCGTGATAAGGGCCTCAAATTTTTCCAACAGTTTTTTCAAACTTGTTGCGGTGAAGCCAACGTTTCAGGGGAAATATTAGAGCAGAAAAAGGTACAGCAGTTTATCGCTGCAATGTATGACGTCAGACAAAAGTTGCGCCTTATCAAGAATGATAATAGCCTAAACTTTATTGAGTGGTTTTCGACCGCTCTTGTGGTGAAGCCAATGCTTCAGGGTAGATATTAGCTTGGTAAAAAGGCACAGATGGTTTGTCGCTGCGATGCATGACGTCAGACAAAAGTTGTGCCTTATCAAGCTTGATAATGGCCTCAATTTTTTTCAGTGATTTTTGACGGCTCTTATGGCAAAACCAACGCTTCAGCGTTATTACCACTTCTTGAAAAGGCACAGATGGTCTGTCACTGCAATGTACAAATGACGTCAGACAAAAGTTGAGCGTTACCGTGCGTGATAACTTTGATGAGTACCTCAACATTTAGGGGCGAAGCTCCTTAAGGCGTGGGTCTGTCCATCCCCAGTATGTATGTACGTAGTATGTACGTAGCCACCAGTGGCACATACCCGCTCTAGAGTGGTATGTGCCACAGGGGAGGCGAGATGGGAGATGGCGGTACTTGCAGTGTTGACTAGATGACGCACGGATGGACGGACAGACAGACTAGCAGACGGACGAACGGATGGCTAGACGCGTGGACATACAGATAGATGGACGCATGAACAGACAGACAGACAGATGGATGGACGGACTCACGGACGGACGCATGGGCAGACGGATGGACGCGTGGATGGATGCACGGATGGTTCCGTGGACGGATGGAAGCACGGACGGGTTGACGGAAGCTCCGCCCTACTTATCAGCACTCACTCCGTGGATATGCTCTGATTTTTTTTACAGTAGTTTATGACGTCTATTGCGGTGAAGCCAACAGTTCAGGGGTATCATTAGCTCCGAAGAAGGTACAGACGATCTGTCCATTTGGTATATGACGTCAGGTGAAAGTTGAGCCTCATCGTGCATGATAAGGGCCTCAACTTTTTTAGTGTTTTTCTACGGCTCCAGTGGTCAAGGCAACGCTTCGGGAGAATTATTAGCTCTGAAAAAGGCGCAGACAGTTTGTCGCTACAATGTATGACGTCAGACAAAAGTTTAGCGTTATCGCGCGTGATAATGGGCTAAACTTTTTTCAGTGGTTTACGACGTCTGTTGTGGGAAAACCAACGCTTCAGGGGAACTATTACCTCGGAAGAAACACGACGGTCCATCTCTTCAGTATATGACGTCAGACGAAAGTTTAGCCTTATCGTCCATGATACGAACTTTGACTTTTTCAGTGATTTTCGAGACGGTATTTGTGGTGAAGAAAACGCTTCAGGGGCATAATTAGCTCTGAAAAAGACACAGACGGTAGGTCGCAGCAATGTATGATGTCAGACAAAAGTTGCGCCTTATCAAGCTTGATAATGGCCTCAACTTTATGCAGTGGTTTTTGGTGCTATTGCGGTGAAGCCAACACTCCGGGAAAGTTATTAGCTCTGCAAAAAGAACAGACGGTTCGTCACTTCGTGGTATGACGTCAGAGAAAAGTTGAGCGTTTTCATGCGTGATAAGGGCCTAAACTTTTTTCAGTGGTTTTCGTGGTCTGTGGCAGGGAAGCACACGCTTCGGGGAAATTATTAGCTTGGAAGAAGGCATAGATGGTCCTTCGTTGTAGTATACGACGAATGGCTGAAGTTGCGCCTTTCATGCGTGTAAGGGCCTGAACATTTTCTGCGGTGTTCGACGGTTGATGCGGTGAATTCAATGCTTCAGGGGAATGATTATCTCGGAAAAAGGCACAGACGGTTCGTCACTACAGTGTATGACGTGGGAGAAAGTTTGAGCTTTATCGCGTGTGATAATGGCCTCAACAACCTGGGTCCGTTGCGTGCCAGCCCAGTATTATTCTATTGAGACACACCAGCGCTTGGGACTTGTTCGCAAACTTGCCTGAGGCAGGCTTGATGTCGAGAAAGCAATCGCGTTATAATGAGTAATAAAGCGTTCCAGAATAACAAAAGAAGAACCAGCTGTCACACAATACGAGAAGCGAAACAAGCGGGTTGCCATTTGCTCCAACCGATTACAAAAGATTGTTCTTGATCACCTATTAACTGTGGCACATATCCACTTCAGGCATAATTTCTCATCGATGCACAGCGTGTGACGGCCTACTACCAAAAATCATTATTCATAATGCTGTAAAAGATACCAAGCAAGTGTGTTTGCAGCAGTTACCCAATAATTGTTTAGAAAATGCTCAGAAAGGCCGCTCTTCTAGCTTTCGCTGTGACTTTTATGTGCCTTCTGCGCAGGTCTGCGTTTTTTATTTGAGTTTTTTACAGCAAAAGCTGTTATGAAATCACAACACGGGTCACGCGTAGTGACGTAGTTGTCCGCTACCGCCACCGGTGTCCGTAACCACTATCGCACGAAATAATAAAAAAACTCTAAATCAAAAACACCAACAATAAGTGCTGACATAGAATCGAACCAGAGTGCACTGCGTGCTAGCCGAGCATTCTACAGCTGAGCTACGCTGGCTTTTCTTTCTTTGTTCCTAACTTTTGCACATCCTACATTAATAACACAGTGCATAAGCAGGTCATACAGAGGTAACGAGCAGAATGGTTGCATTGTGACTAGAATTTCTTTATGCTGATAAGTGGCTCAAGTCGTTCAAGCCACTCTGGAACTGGGTCTTTCATAATGTAACGAGTAACTTATTTATTAAATTTTATACGATGGACCGCGCTCGGCGAAGAAGATGATGACAGTTCATCAACAACCAGCAACCGACGTCGTCTTTCTCTTTCATGCAGCAAGGCTGTGGTGGCTGTTGTATACCATAACCCCCCGGCGGTAGAAGCACCGTCTCGGTGCTTGAGCTACTCGGATGCGGTAGAAGGAGGGTGATAAGGCTTGAGTAGAGCTATGTGCACGATGTCGCTCGAAGCCGACGATGATGACGTTGGATCAGCTGGAACGATCTCGTATGTAACGTTAGTCACCTGGCGAACGACACGGTATGGTTCAGTGTAGCGTGACAGTAATTTTTCACAAAGACCTGCACGCCGAGTGGGGAACCAGAGAAGGACAAGAAAACTCGGTGAAAAAGTGCACGTTTCGATGATGGGAATCGTAGAGCTGTCTTTGGTGCTCTTGTGAGGCCTGGAGACGGCTGCGGGCAAGCTGGCGTGAGTGTTCGGCTCGCACGATGGCTTTGCCGGCATACTCTGTGACAGAGGGCAGCAAGGTGTCAAAAAGTAGGGCGGGTTCTCGGCCGTATAGAAGATAGAATGGCGAATAGCCGGCAGTGTCGTGACGTGACGAATTATATGCGAACGTCACAATTGGCAAATGAACGTCCCAGTCCTGGTGGTCGGCCGCTACGTATTTAGAAAGCATGTCGGTTATGGTGCGGTTGAGGCGCTCCGTAAGACCGTTCGTTTTCGGATGGTACGAAGCGGCAAACTTGTGCTTGGCAGAGCAAGAGCGCAGGATTTCATCAACGACAGCTGATAGGAAGGTCCAGCCCTGGTCAGTGAGAAGTTGGCGTGGAGCTCCGTGTATAAAATAATGTCATATATCAGAAAGTCCGCCACATCGGTTGCGCAACTCGTCGGAAGTGCTCGTGTGATCGCGTACCGTGTCGCATAGTCAGTAGCGACAGCAATACATTTGTTGCCTGCGCTGGAGATTGGGATTGGGCCAAGCAGGTTGAGGCCAACTCGAAAAAAAGGTTCAGTGGGAATGTCGATCGGCTGAAGGAATCGAACTGGTAAGAAGGATGGCTTTTTGCAGCGCTGGCAGGAACCTCTCAACGCAAGACGCAATGCTATAGTTAAAACATCAGATTATAAATAACCTGGTAACAGTGACAAAGGCCATTATAGGGTTACACCTCAAGAAAGCCTTTGATAATGTAACACATGCAACGGTGCTTAAAAGAGTAAACGATCTAGGTCTGGGACAACGGACGTACAATTACGTGCGTGATTTCCTGACTGGAAGGAAAGCAAAGATCATGATAGGGGGCCTAGTTTCGGAGGAAATTGAGAGGGACAGTGCAGGTACGCCGCAAGGCTCAGTATTATCGCCTATGTTATTCAATCTGGCCCTAATTGGACTTCCGACCAAGCTCCAAGCAATCGAAGGACTGAATCATACAATATATGCAGGTGACATCACCCTACGGGTGAGAAATGGGAGTGATGGGCAAATAGAGGAAACGCTTCAAACAGCAGTGTAAACGGTCTAGCGGGATCAGGAAGGTACTGGGCTAGCCAGCTCTGCGAAAAAATTGCAGCTGTTGCTGTACCGACCTACTCGTAGAGGTGCGCAAACCAGGCAACTGCCTGGAAGATCTCGCTAATAGAGAAGAAATACAGTTGAGAACAGCCGATGGAAAAAGCCGTACCCATAGTTGACAGGATCAGGGTACTGGGTCTGCTCATCAAAGCCAAGGGCAACAATGGAGAAACCCTCAGGCGACTGCATACAGCTGTAGCCCAAATAATGAGACTCATAAAAAGGATAGCAAATAATACAGTGGCATGAGGTAGGAAAACACGATAAGGTTGATACAGGCATTCGTGATAAGCAGAAAAGTATATGTAGCGCCGTACTTGAAATGGCAAGTCGCTGAAAAGATCAAGTTAGACTGCCTCATTCAAAAAGAATATTCTAACTAGCCATAGGGCTACTGATTAGCACAAGCACGGGCAAACTGCTACAACTAGGTCCTGCACATATGCATAGAGGAGCTCATTGAGACACAGCGTACGGCGCAATATGAACGTCTCTCTAAAACGCGAGCATGGAAGGCATATCCTAGAACGCCTAGGCATAACATATCACACACAACACGGCGTTAAAGTGGACATCCCAAGAGAGACCAGGAAAACAATGATGATACCCCCTAGCCAAAAAACATGCACCCCGAACACATTAAGGCCAGACGAGAGACCAGAGCAAAGCAAATACAAAAAAAAGGTTTGGTAATGACAAGGACGCACTTTTCGTAGACGCTGCTCGATACAAGCACAGACGAGGGTTTGCGGTAGCCGTAATCGATAGCAACAAATGATGTACGACATGCTCGACTATACGCACCACAAGTACCGAAACAGCGGATAGGTAGCCATAGCGCCAGCAGTTGCTCAGGACATACGCAATCATGATAGTTAATGACTCTCAAACGGCAGTGAGAAACTTCGCCAATGGCCGCATCGCACAGGAGGCGCTACGTATTCTACATGGAGGGGGTCGAACAAGCCCCAGAAATGCGTACATTATATGGACACCTACTCACGCCATCGCGTGGGACAGCAACAATGGGACTGTACATGACGCCGCTCGAGGGCTCACAGAGTGGTGGTTATATAGGAGGGAAAAGAAGAGAAAAGTGTAGCCCCGTAACTGTCTGCATCATGGTGCGACACCTCAAGAGTAGCTCACAAGAGGATGGGGGTGAGGAGGGATTAAAAGTATAGGAATAAAGGTATAGAAAGAGAAAGAGAGAGAGAGAGAGAGATATGCGCTAGGACAGCGAGCGAGGACATATGAGGGATAGCAGAGAGGAAAGATGGAAACACGGTCACAAGAGTCCGACGACGGGGCACCACTTGTGAGAGCTCTTGTCGGCGTCAGGAGAGGGCGTAGGGCAAGTCCAGTAGGTCAGAGCTACGCTATCGTCGGAGATCGGCGTCAGGAGATGACGTAGGGCCAGACCAGTCGGCCAGAGCTACGCTGACGTCGGAGATCGGGAGGGCACAACTGGTCGGCACTGGAACCCAGTGAGCGAGTGAGGGCTCACCGAACGAGCTGCCCTCTCAGGTGCCACCCCAGCATCTTCCGGTGATTACGGCGTGGCAGACGAGTGGGAGTGGGAAGACAGAATGACGAGATACAATGACATTACAAAACATTAGAGATTACAGAGGGGCATATTCTCGCCCCCTCACCCAAAATTAACAAAAAGACAGTCTGTCGAATGGCGGCAGTTACAAACTAGGACGTATCCGAATCCTGCACTCACTTACATTATATATCCTGATATATACAAAACGGGCAGGCGCCCGTTTTGTATATATCAGGATATATACTGGATCCTATATATCCAGAGCCAAAGTGGCTCTGGATATATACTCCAGAGCCACTTTGGAGCATATGTTATGGAAAAGTAGAGGGATTAGTGCCCATAACAAGTATGCGGCTTCTAGTGAAAGCCTTCGCGCGCGCTGGGAAGCCATGATGCTCAGCCCCGTCCTCGAAGATCACATGTCGACCGTCCAGCTGGGTGAAGAAGTTGCCATGATTCAAGGACTCCTGGCCGTAACCTAGGCGGGGCTATTAACCCACGCCACCTACTCGCTGGACTTTGAATAAAGTTCTTTCCTCCTCCTCCTTTTTCTCTCTGTGGACGTTCTTCTGAATAAAATGGTAACATTGTTTCGACGAACATACGTTTGTTCCTTTTTTTTAATTACGGACAAAGATACCACATGCGCAGTATCAGAGGCGACAATGGATCAAAAGGTGAGGCACAAGAAGTGACAAGAAACTCTTTTGAAAAAAAAAAAGACGTACAAGTGAGGACATCTAGCCTCAGAAAACGTAACTACAGTGGATCAGACGTTGTTGCCTCCGCCTGGGACCATTTTTTTGTGTGTGTGTGTGGGGGGGGGGGGGGGGATGAGTGCAGTCATGATCGGTCGCACACTGTTAGAAAATTCAATGACGATAATACTCATTAACGGTCGGGAAAAGCTTTATTGGTGTCTTTCACAGCTGAAGCATTATTTTTGTTGTTTGTACTGGTCATAGAGTTGGCTAAAGTTGACTAGGGGAACTCTGGAGCTGCGATCGTTCAGCACCATAGGAATGATGGGTAGTACACAAATCTGTCTAGTCTTTGTGCTTGCAGGCTCCGAACGCACCTGTGGTTTTGTTATTGCTGTGTTTCGGTTTTGTTTTAAATACATCAACACACCACAGTCAACTTCGTCAGCCGATTTTAATTGGTGAGCCTAAAAAGTCTCGACGGTGATGTGCAACTTTTGAGCATTTGCTGATTGTCTTTTCGTCACAAAGCGATTTTAAGCCAAACGGAGCCGAAAGTATGAATATTAGACAAATTGGTGAAGAACCCATCATTTCCGTGCTTACTGAAGCGCTGTGCGTCTCAGCTCCCATAGACACTAGCGCAAGAGTTCCCTCTAATTTAGGAGACTATGATACTGATGTCCCAACCCTTGCTCCACTTTCTCGGAACTTTCTATGTCTTTATCTAACACAACCAACACCAATATGTATGTGTATGGAATAGAATTAGAATACCGAAGTGAATGTTGATAGCTCGTTTTTATTAATTTTTGACTGAGACAAATGTATTGAAAAATTATCTAAAATCAAGCCAGCAAATATATAGTGGTGGTATTATTGCTACTTATTATTAATTTAGTAATTTTGGTAATATGTCTGTGGATAAATTAAAGTGCATAAAAAGAGAACTTGCTGCTGCCAGGGACTAAGGGAATCGCACGTGTAATTGGCGTCTGGATAACGAGAAACCTAAATTTGGGGACGTACTAGAATTTACCGAAACTCCGTGAAATTGACTTTCATGGCAACTGGTAGTTGCGGGGTCTGCGTTAATAATTAGGCAGATAACGAGACCCTCCCATCACACGCAGAAGCACAGAAAGTACTCACTCCGCTGTCAGGGACATACTCACTCACAGGCGGATGGGATCACACCAAACATAAAGCGTACCGGACTGCTTCAACTGGACACTTAATTTCAACTGGAACTTCTATCTAGACTTCGCATCTGTCGTCGTTGGTGGGGAGTTGCCCTCACAAAGACATACGTTTGTTAGAGTACCCGGCTGATATTGCGGCACACGAGGTCTGAGGCACCGACTGTACGCGGCAATGAACGCCCTCTGTGGCTTTTTGGGGAGATTGTGCCTTCATTTCTTTCCTTCGGACCTTGGGTTCTAAACACAGTACTGCGAGTAAGGACTTTTTTTTTTGCTTCACTCGTCTGGTGACAGAGGTACAGGTGAACAGATATAGAGTGTTCACTTTGAGTCATCATAATATAACATACGTAAATTTAAATACATATTAGTCGAAGAAGCTGTGATCTACGATAAGCCTTCTAAGTATAGTTACATGCAGCGTAAGTTCACGTGTCACTCGAGAAAGTTTACACAGCAGAATGCAGAAAACAAGACTGCCGTGTTCCAGGCTTTCGGGCCGTCTTTGAACAGGCTTTATTTGCATGCCAGCAACATAACGATGGCCGAGGGTGCGGAAGGAAAGATGCCCCGCCTAGCCACGCGCGAAGCGCTTCTATTCACCTTGTGGGCGAGAGTGTTGCGATATGGCCGTAGAGTTGTGTGACAGAAACATTGCCCTATCCAATGCTCCTATCATTCTAAAATTATTACCTAAAGTATGTGACACACTTTCCCATTTTCGTGCCGCAAGCTATCACTCTCTTTTAACGCGATAGCCGTAAAGAGATCGTTTCGCAGAAATTTTGGTAAAGTCTGTGTCGGCGCACTTGGTTGCGAGCGAAAAATTATCGTTCTTCTCGCCCGTATACACAAAGTGCGAACGCTTGGTTTTAGCGCAAGGTTTGGTGTCTGGAGCTCGGGCATCCCTGTCGTGCGTTGCTGTGAGGCTGTGACTGTCTGTGGTTTCACACGAACCTTTCTTCATCGATAATCGAGGTGAAAACTACATAGCACCACCTAGCTTAATTCTAGCAACAACCTAGAAGCAACCTCGAAACAACCTGCACCACCGAGTTAAGGCCTAGAAATTAACAACCTAGAAGCAATCACATGAGTAATTAGACTTGTCCATATTCACTGTTTAAATTCTTATACTACAGCCTTATTTCAAAGTCTGCCTGTTTTTTTTTTATTTCCGTTAACGAAGACTAAAGGGAAAGTAAACAGGGCTAGAACATATAGATACACTTGTAGTGCAACTAAAACCTAATGCGCGTGTCGTAGGTTGGCATCCAGCTCTCAACTTGATTTCTTTCACACACACCCTTCACAAGTGGCCTTGCTTTTTGTCCACAGGCACGTGTCCACAGGTCAGTCGCCCTTTGCATTTAAGTCCCACGCCTCAATTAAAAGAAATATAGACCAGCCAGCTCAATACGCTTTCCGTACCTTTGTTAACAGTTAGCTTCATGCGAATTTAATTTGTTGCAGCATGACTTTTGCGTTAAGGTTTACCCTTCTTCTGTTTTCAATTTCGTAGAATTTGAACAATTTCTCTCGTCGCTTCAGCATTACACTTTTGAAAAACTCCCCATCCGACACTATTACATCCAGGCTGAGGCGGGAAGCATCTGGTTCAGCCCGTACAGAAGCGCCAGTATTGATTACTGCTTCATTGACAACGGGCGCCCCCTGAGGCCATGGTGCACGCTGAGCCCTCGAGCCAGTCTGTCGATGGCAGCGCGACTAATGATCTCGCAGACGCTGAATAAATGACGACAGGCGTGAGAAGTCTCCGATGTTGCGTAGCAATCTCGCCAAAGGGAAATCAGACAGGGATCCAAACTGCAAGAAAGCGTGATTGCTTGACACGCTCGTGACTAAATCGCGAGAATAAACTGGGGCTAGCGGTAACAATGTGATTTTTTTTTCCCCAGACACATTCGTTACCCCAAGTATGCGGACTTGATGTTCAAGAAATGATAAGACTTTATGGTTCCCCTAATGTGCGATTTTAGTTGTTGGTCGACCACGATTTGTGCGCAGTGAATTCAAACGAGCTTGGTTTCATCAAGATACAGGCGCCCTCACGGAATTGCAAAAGTTGGAAGTCTGCCAGCATTTAGCCAGCGCAGGAGTCATGAGAAGGTACGTCTGAAAACTTAGAGTGGTTTATTTTGCTTCAGATAAGTAGTCTCACGGTTGCATGATTAAAATGAAATCGGAAACTATGTGAAGTCTACGACGCTAGAGTGCTGCTACCTGATATTGTTACGTTTGTGATTTCTTTGGCAGATCATTCGTCTGAAATTCACCACACGTGATCTGCTTAGATCGATGACAGTTATATCTTGGTTTCCTTGCTTCTTTTAAGGCGTGATCTGCCTGAAATCAGCAGCAATAATAGTAAAGTTGTTTTTTTTCTTCTTTATTTTAGCCTCCACATTTTGGCAGTTCGCGTGAAACGTGCCGACAGCAGCAACTGAACAATGGATAGGATTGTAAAACTTTATTTCGCCAGAAAGCAACTGTGGACGATTCTGTGTTAGATGGCCGTCAACCCAAAGTTGG